ATAGTCTTTACAAAGATTCCTTAAAAGGAAGGTTACACGAATTTATCTTCACTTTAAGTCATCTTTAGTATAAGATTATAAAAGACAATTAAATATTTGTCTTCACAAATTTAATAGTAAAAAGACAGACAAAAAAAGGTCTTTTTACACTAATTAAAATTTTAATCAAAAAATTTATTATTTAAACAATATAAAATATTTTGTAATCAAAGCATTTTTAAACCAATAATAAGTTGATTTTTTAATTACAATCTTAATACAACAAATATTACAACTGAAATATAATAATAATATATATATAAATAATATCAATATTTATCAATTATAGATTTTAAAAATTTATAAAAAAAAAAACTCTTTTTTGTACAACAAAATTTCTTAAAATTTTCTTTCTTTAGAAATTTACAAAACAAAAGTCAAAAAAAGATAACAAGTTACAATAGAAGCTCTAAAGCTTTCAACAACTTTTTTAAACAACAGAATGCACTTTGAAATATGAAAGAAAGGCAGGAATAGGCCTAGTTATAACACAACTATATGCAAAGAAGTTCACTCTTACAGTAGCCAATAAGCCCATGCAACAATTGACTAATCCAATTCTTAATACTCATTAATAAACTATAAAAGACATACTTGACCTCAACACACAACAAGAAAAAACATCACAAGAATATTAAGAACAAGAAAGTATTGAACAATCTATTTAACAAAAACAAAAATCAATGGTATTGACTGCATTCTGAAGTAACATTATAAAAATACACTTTAGCATAACTGGCAGGCCAGAAACTAGCAAGAAAACAAAAAAACATTATTAATAAGAAACCTCAAACAGTCTGAATTGATGATACTGATAAAGAAATAGAAACTGAAGAAAAAAGCAACTCAAGACAGAAATGATTCTCAGTTTCCAAAGAAAAAAACAAAGAAAGTAACAACTTACAAGGCAAATCAAGACCAAGACCACCATTCGACAGATCAACCAGAGATAGCCACAAATACTAAAGGTCAGAATTCCAGCAAAACTAGGCAAAGGAAGAACAATACACCAAAAATTTAATGGTGAGGATATAACGAACATCAAGCAGTTTAATCCAGGTATGTGGTACTTTATTTTATTTTTTCTTGTCATTTTTTGACAGGGTCTCGGCCGAAATTTCCAGATAATTTATTTTTTCTGCTTTATAGTTTTTGAGGATGATGACGACAAAACCCTCGAACAGTGTATCAATGAAATAATACTGAGACTTTCAAATCTGGAAACGATGCAGACTAACGCCAACGTAGCCAAACGTTGTGTATTTATTACGTCGATATTAAACACATCCCTGGCTATTGTTAGACGACTTACCTAAGAAAAAATCTACATATCATATCAAAAAGCAGTTTCCGGTGAGGAAGCATCTGGTCGTGTCGATTTTGCAATAAAAGGAAACGAGGATCTTATGTGCATAGCTGAGGGAAAGCCTCGTAACGTCGAAATCGGTTACCTCCAGAATATCATGCAACTAGAGAGTGCATACCATACCAATAAAAAGAAGCGTACAGCAGATGAAGCTTTCCGGGATGATGATTACGAATATCTCTACGGAATAGTTTCTACTGGTATGTTGTATTTACAAATATTCCAAAATTCCTTATTTTGTTGGCTCCATTTATAGAAAAACGTTATTTATTTTTAGCCACAGAATGGCATTTCATCGTTTATGCTACCGATGGTCTTTATTGTACCAGTAAAAGCGAATATCAAATAAATCTCTCTAAAACGGCGTTCGAGGAGGATCTTGACTCTATTCGAAAAGGCGTAAAACGGGTGTTAGGTGTTATTGTTGGATTATCGAAGGACCGGATTAGTGTAGATAATTCCCCAAACAGTAAGAGATCGAGGATCGAAAAATTTACCAAAAAATAGCAGATCCCGCTTCACATGTATTTTATATTGTATTAATAAAGAAATCAGACCTAAATGGTCTTTTTTCCGATAATTAATTTTTATGTGCGATATTTTCCTCCAAATTTATTTTGGCGTTTACACTTCCTGAACTAAGTTCAGTGATTTTTATCATGTGATTTATATCTATATGATAAAGAATTGAATATGTCCGCACCTTATATAAAACGATGGCAGACACACAATATACAATTTTTTCGCTAAGAGAATTAAACATCAAGCTTACAGTTGAGATTAGCGAACTAAGAAAGAAGTATGCTGAGCTTGAAGCTAATAATATCGAAGTCGAAGCTGAGAATGCCAAATTAAAACGAGACAAAGAAGAAGTTGAAGCCAGATTCTTGAATCTAGAGCAGAGAGATAGGGAAAAAACTAATCTTATCGCTAAACTGAAACATGATGTCTCACTAATCAAGGAGCAAAGCTTGCAAAACAGGGGTAATGGATATACTGATAACACATCTGATGATGCAGAGTATCGAACATCTGATTCTTCTGTATCCCCTGAAACAAATCATAATAGTGAACAGATAAACTTACGATGTGAAGACACTCCCGCATCTGATATAACTGGTGATACTTCAAATTCCGACATATGTCAGGGGACAAAGATTCAGCTGGAGGTTGGTTCACGTCAATGCTCCACATCACCAATTTGTATAGGAAACAAATCTTCAGAAGATAAAGTGATCAATGAATTTCTAGACCTAAAAGAAAAGGAAAGGGTTAGTAATATAATAAGAGAGAAAAACAGAGAAAAGAAGCTTGGATCTCAAGATCTTTTATCATATGATAAAGATATTTCACAATATAATAAAAACAAAGTACAGAAATTCATGGTAGAAGTTTCTAAAAACTCTAGCTCGTCTATTAATAATAGCAATGCAGACAGTAATGTGATACCCACAACCCAGAATGAAACAGAAGAGTCAAAGACTCGATGCTTCGCATCATCTCAACCCAGCAATATTAGCTTCACATTTTTATACGAAAAACTTTGTAATGCTATAATTTTCGCTGACCGTAAAACCCAAGAAGCAATCTTCTGTTATGGTAATTTAGTAAAGCTCTCATTCAAAGACGTAATGAATTGGCATCAGAAAAACAAGTTGATCCGGAATCTAATGCAGTTAGTAGAATTTTAAATAAGGAAGTTCGCGCTCAGCTCCCTGCAAATATTTCCGACGCGCTTTTATGGAAGAGAATCGAAAAAGCTAAAAAGCTCTACAAACTTTTCAGTATAATAGGTATGGATAAAATTTATCGAATACATTCCTTTTCCGCTGATAGTATCTCGAAAATGACAAATAGAGATATTCAATATATTATAGATAACGTAACATTTGATTATAGTATTAAGATAGAACCCACCCTAAAATCCGAATTCCCTGAACCGAGTTCAGGAAGTGATCAGCAAATTTCTTGCGAAAAAGAAAATAAAGATTCAGAATTTTTGGAAACAGAGGTAAGCACTACATTCATTCCCTCTGTCCCATTGTTTCATACCTCCAATTCGGAAGATATGATGAGTGAGGATAACAAATCTTTACCGGAGGAAGAGGTAAGCATATCTACTGGAGCAATTTCAAAGGATAAACCAGAAACTGTAAATGAGGATAATAATATAAGCGAGAAAGCCGAATATTTACTGGAGGAAGAGGTAGATGAACCCGATGATTCTTTAGATTCTAACTCGGAATCCTCTGATGATGATGGGTTCTGTGGATTTTCTGACGATGATGAAGGTTATTATTATGATTTAAACACCGGTGAGACCTATACAAAATCGGAATATCGTTATTGAATCCGCGCATATTAATTAATGGGCCATTTATGGAATAAAGATGTAAGGTTTTATATTAACCGACATTCGTGAAACAAATTTTCGGTTACTAAGACATTTTTCGCCTATCGCCTTCGGACATAATGCTAATTCTTCATTTAAGATCGTCCAGTCCGAGATAGCAAATCCGATATGCAATTTTCCTTTTGTATTCTCATAACCGAGATGCAATATAGGTACGATGAAGGTATGATGAGGGTGCGATGTAGATACGATAGATTTTTTTTCTATATACAGTAACTGTATAGGTTGTGTTAAATTCTTGTATATCGGAAAGCATAAAATGATGTCCACGTGATTGTGGAATTCCGAGATTGACATGAAACTGATAAGTCAGATCTGTGCGACATTCGATTTCCCAATTCCATTTATTCGTGCCGTACTACCATGTCTAACGTCTATGAAGCAATCAAACTGCTTGATTCAAAAGAGGAAAGAACTGCACTACGAGCCCTCTTTACTAAAGATCCAGAAATAGAAGCTAGAGCGGGACGCGTCCTTCCTACATGTGAGGATAATGGAGAGATAGTTGCTTATTTCAAAGAACTCTTAAAGCCTGGTATATTCTCTTTTAATCGTGTCATATTCACCAATAATACCGAATACTTACTTGTGCTTTTCTTTCCTGCTCCTTATCGTTAAACCCGCCCAAAAAACACATTCGCGTTATCGTAGAGCAACCCGTTGCCTCTGGTAAGTAAGCTGTAATAAATTTGGTCAGTGCGAGTGAACATAATGCTTTTTCGCCGTCACTTTTTAACGTGTGTATGATTATTTTCCATTTTATTCAGAATATATCAAGGAAAATAAGGATTTGAAATATCATATATTCTATCTTGAGTTAGCCAATACAAGAAATTCTGTCTCTGTGTACAGACATGTGAGAGAACGTGGAGACATTCAACTTTGGAAAATTGAGGAGGATATCACACCACTAGAAGAGGCTGTAAATGATGTATTTAATCAATATCGTAATGCTCCTGCTCAAGGATTAAGTGAAATTAATGTAAACCAACCATTTTGTAAGAATGTTGTGAGTGAAATCGTAAATCAGGTAGAAAGAAATGACTTACTTGTAGTTGGAGATAATGGCGGCCGGAGAGAAGATGAAGTTTTTCCTGATATCATAATTGTTCCTGTCGGTTTCTACGCAAAATTGACAAAAAACCCACCTGATTTATCAAAGGGTTTGGGTTGGGAAGTCAAGAATA